GATGTGTCGGTTCCTCTTTTGTCCTGCACTTGTCCAATTTTGTCAAATGTTTTAAGGACACTGCACACCGTGTCAAAATATGGCAGGATTTCATCTAATAGCTCATTGGTGCAGACTTGGTACCTATAACAGACCCATTTCTGTAATATATCTATATCATGGCTAAAAAGCATTTGATGGATGTAAACTGCATTTCGTTGCCTTGTACTTGTGACATGTGCAATGACAATAAAGTTGAATTCTATTCTGTTATCCGAGTTGTCTGTTATGTGTCGACTGCACCAGTTTCTCCCTTGAGTCAGGTGTCAGGGGTCAGGGCTTTAACATTCCTCTAAAAATGGTGAAAACCAGCCAGTGTCCCAGGAAAAACTTCCAAAGGAAGTCCAAAACCTGGAGAACTATTGTTCAAAACCACTTTTTAAAAAATAGCAAGAAAGTCTTTGGAAATCAAAAGTTTTGAACAACTGAAGATGATGTAGTGATAGAAGTTTAAGTTACAGGCAGGAAAAATGTTTTAAAACTTGAATTTGGGTCCAAATTAGTTTTTGATTTGTAAAAATCAGATTTGAAGAGAGATTCTAAGGAAAACTTTATTTACGCATCATAATAGCTTCACAAGTAAATTTGTGGTTCCAAGGACAGCAAATGTTAAGTAGTCAATCATTTAAAACGATGTAAATTAAATGACTGAATTTAATCAAACTGTCTCTAAATGTGAAAAGCAGATATTCCAGCCAAACCTTAGAACTTCTATAAAAATTTGTTATGGCCTGTTAACAGAATTTGGGGTCACTGACACAACCAATTTGAAGAGGATTTGGGAAAAGGAATTAAATATAGAGATCAGTGACGAGGTATGGGACAAAGTTTGGGAGAATGCTAAATCTCTGAGCGTCTGTGATAAAGTTAAGGCAATCCAAATTAAAATCCTACACAGCGCTCACATATCACCTTCTCAACGCCGTAAATACAATCAGACCTTTCTCCGCTGTGCCCTAAATGTAAAATAGAGGTGGGCAACCTCACGCACTGTCTATGGTCCTGCCGGAAAATACAACAATTCTGGTTCCTCATAAAGTGTGAACTGGATAAGATCTTCACCACTGACACTGAATGCAATCCACTGTGTATGCTACTTGGAGTGGCAAACGACAGAATTAGGGGGACGTTTGGAAAGCAGCTCTATGCACTGTTAACATTCTGTGGAAATGTGTCCTCTTGTGATCACGGACACGGCCCCGTCTAAGACTCAATGGCATCGGACGGTATTGGAATATGTGTCACTAGATTTCCTAACATGCAGGCTGCATAGTCGGGACAAAAAGTTTCATAAAATATGGGACCCATTTATGGCGTATGTGGGTTTGGATATTTCTGCTATTTTCTCACGGGCCTTGGTATAATGCAAGCAGATCACTGCTGTTTTACATATATGTATTGTTAATCGTACCTCATAATCAACATGTCTGGATTTTCCACTTATTTCTTTGTATTCATGAGCCGGGTTGCCGGTCTCTTTGTTTTTTGTCTGTTTTGTTTCGTTCTGCTATGTTGTTGTTGTTGTTTTGGTTATTTGTTTGTTTGTTTAATTTTGGTGTCAGTGTAAAGTTTAAAACTCAATAAACACAGTTAAAAAAATGACTGAATTTAGATTGAGGAGTCACATTTGTAAATTCAGTTACACAGCAGTCCAAGTCATTTGTCATTTGTTAGTTGGAGC